GTTGTGGGGGTGGGTTGGTGGGGATGGGGAATGGAGAATGGGGGAAGGATGGAAAAGAGTTTTGGAAAATATTTTCCATTTTCTTGATAGGGAAAACATTTAAATGAGTTCATGAGAAAAATGTTTTCCAAAACATTTAAGGCAATGAGAAAATTGAAAAACATTTTCCGGAAAATATTTTCCTTCGTACCAAACACATCCTCATTGAAGAAGAATTTTCTTCGAAGCATGTAATCTGGTTCATGTACTACATTAAAAACAACCAAATATGTGCATAAATGGGAGTTCAAAGGAAGCATCTAGGATAAATATATATAGCCAGATTGACTAGTTTAGCAGCGACCTGATTTTCGAAACGACATGATCCACACCAGTTGGACCTATAATTTCTCGGTTATCAGAAGGAAAAAAAAAAAGGCAGTCCGATGCACAAAGCATCCAAGAAAACAATAATTGTATATGCCATTGCACCAAAGTGAAAATGGAGTTAAGACTTTTAGAACATGTAGCAGTCTTAACTCAGTCTATAAAATTACTGCAAAAAATGCTATACATAGGCACAACATGGTGATATTAGCAGCAGCGTTGCTAATTTTGGCTAAATACTTATTATGATACCAGCTTAGAGAATTAGGCTATCTTAACTAGCATCAGCAGTAACAGAAAATATGAAATGGAGATAAAAAGACATACATGACAAACCTAAAACCAGAATATCTCATTTTGTAGTGTAGAACCACCCTGTAAAATCATGGTTTAATGTCCAGTGCTAAATTAAATCAACAATCAATTAACAACTACACCACAAACTGGAACAAGTAAATCAAGTCATTTGGAAAAAATAAATCGGATGTCTTGCCCTACTGATTTATTTGAGTGGCACTAAAAATAATGTTATTTACCAATTGATGCCGGGGCAGTGCTTGATATGAGTTTTCTCCTGCCCCAGACAACTTTGAGCTTTCATTGAGTGATTACATAGTGCGGTTTACCTAAAGTAAAGGCTCTAAGCTCCGCTCCGTGTAATCCTGGGCTTCTTACTGGAGTTTGAACTCATTGAGCATCTCCAACTCTGATTATATCCCTACGGAGCTATGAAATAATCTGGATAACCAACATTTCTTCATTCTGATTAGCAACGCAAAGAAGCCATAACAAGGGAGATGGAGAATACCAACAGCAAAATACCTGCAATTTCACATTTTTGAGCAAGCATGAATAGCACAATAAGCACATTGACTACTCTGCATATACTGATTTCTCGTATGAGGTCGTACACATACCAAAGGGGAGCATATTGAGATGACAAGTCTAGAAAGGGATAAGGCCACCTGTGGCAACAAGAGTTTAACAGTTTCAGTAAACAACATAAGCCTAGATGAGTTAGATGTCCCATAATACTAATGGTCAATACCATGATCAATTGCAAATATACCTCATTGAGACAAAAATATGGAGGATCCACTGGAAAATGACAAATACACATGTCCAGAGCACAAAATATGTTACACGGAAGAAAGGGAACCGCTGGAAAGGAAGCAAGACAGAGTATTAACCACCGCTTATATATGCACAATACGTAAAGCTTAGATAGTAGGGAATTTCAAACTTACTAGACGATTTAGAAACACATCACCGAGAAGGCAAACGGCATTGACAGAATGCATACAAACAGCCAGCTGCAGTAACAGGTAGACTATCAGCTTATCGTACAAATGCAGAGAGAGGAGAGGGCGGGCCACATGTAAATCAGGTATAACCTATGTTCATCACACAATACTAACTAATCATGATGTCTACATGTAGGTGTGAATACGACCATTCTACTGGTTCATAAACGAATGAAACTACTATCTACTGGTCCCTGTTGTAAGAGAAGCCTTTCTGTGTCCGTAAGTTAAGATGGAGACTTTGATGATTGGCATGCAGGTATGTAGTAGCTTGTCTTCTTTCAAATGGTGAGACGGAAGAACCACCAAAGAAATAATCCAGTGAAGTTTTCTTGTAAATGTGGATCATTGAAGTACGATGTTAACTTTTTCCCTTATTTTGAGAACTGAGCCAGAGTCAATAGTAAAAGCACGACACACATGCACACTGAGATTAAACTTTGTGGACATCAAAAAGCACTTAGCGGCAGTTGACAATGAATTTACTCTATGTAGCTTTTGATGATTCATGCTTATAGAAAATATTAGAAGAAAGTCAGAAACAAAAAGAAAAAAAACTAAAAATTGAAATAACTGAAACTAAACTAAACAATCAGGGGGGAAAAGATCAAGATGGCATGGAAAAAATGCACTTGTCATCTTTTGATGGCAAGAAGTGGCTAGTTAATAAGCTGAAGATTACAAAAGTTGGATAGATATGTATAACTGCCCAAAAATTCCGGTCCTTGCACTAAGTGAATGCTCAAGCTTGATTCCATTAATACTTTTACAGATGAGCCTTGAATTGAAGCAATACATAAAAGACGAACACAATCAAGCAAAACTTTATTGAACTAAAAGAAGATTAAGATAAGAAAGCAAAAGTCTAATACTTACAAAATGCAATCTGTAATTTTTGTCAGTGAGGAATGGGTAGATAACGAGCCAAAAAACACAATCTGTAAGAACAACAGCACCTGCAGTCATCTACAAATTATTTGGGGGAGGGGAAAGAATTAGCCAAGTACCCATAGAATGCAGCACGAATAAGCACTAAACCACTTTTATGAATGTGCCTAACTCGATATTACATCATTTCAGACATTTACTTAATTTAGGAGATGTAATATCATAGTGAAGGTATACGACAGATGATAAAAAGATGAACCTTCAGAAAATCTTACTTGTAGGATTGAACGGTGAAAGATCGCTAATTAGTGGCAATTACGCAGGATGAAAAGAAATAGATAATCCAACATCTATGACAAATGTGAGAAATTATAGAAGATTCTATATACCACATGGGAGTAGATAGACTTTCTGCGACTCTGTCCCAACAGCAAAAGAAAGAAAAGATAAAGAAGTTTGCATGTCTGGTTGTTGTATAAGTAGCAACAAAAGGTAAGGTAAATGGATCTAGAGAGAACATGCCTGGAATATTATTTGAAAGGCAACGCTCCAAGGACCTGCAGCTTCTCTAACATGTGGTTCTCCATGGGAATTCAAGCCATTGGAAACAATAAGTACGTTTGCATTTTCAGGAATTGGAGCCGTGTAAGTGCCTCTCTCTGTATCAACACTATCACCACTCTCACCTTTACCTCCCTTGCGAGATTGGAAACAGCCATGAATGGAGAGAGAAGATCCTAGCTAGGAAATTTAGTTGAGAGCATTACCAAATTATATAAGAAATAAGGAACACTACAATGAAAAAGGAAGGTGTGGTGAATGACATAAATTCTCCGATCAGTTAAATAAGGGCGAAGTAATAAATAGTCTGCCTCGCAGGAGGAACACAGCAATTTAACTTTTACTCTCTTATTGAAAACGAATCGGGGAACATCTAAAGATAATCAATATCATATCCAGATATGACTAATAAAGATGGTCATAGATTAATAACATACCCCAAAGTAGACTGTAACTAAGGTGAATGTCCACCTGTTCAGTACAAAAAAAGAACAATGAAAAGCAAAAGATAAGATCGATCATATTTCAATCAATAAAATAGCTTGTTAACATAACTTTCGTCAAAAGTGAATTTTATTTGACATTGTTATCTTTAGATTTTGAAGAGCTTCTTAGTTACTGTCTGAGCTGTTGAGGCTTCTAGTGAGGCTGTTTGTGTATTAAAGGGAAATAATTAACAGTATAGCACTTCAATACTACAAGGGGACATCACGATAAATTGAAGGTAAACCTTTTAAGTGTTGATCAGGAAATTGTTGCTAGTTTTTGAGAAATGAGTGGATCCATAAATTAATCAGGCTTTAAACATGACTTCATCAAAAATTACTCAGTCTCCACAACATCTACATTCAAAGAAGTGGTTGTCACCGAAAAAGGATGCAACCTATCTCCAACGGGTTCAACTGACCTAGCGTTTTGACCCGTGAAGCATAGATATATATGTTAAAAAACAAAACTACAATTTAAACAAATACTAATGTCTAAACCCATAATTTTAAAAAGTACATCGTGTTCAGTCTAAGAACCTTAAAAGTTGAACATATCAAGTTTAAATCATAGATATCCGCCTATCATACAGTAAAGGCAGATGAAATGTGGAGCAAAAGAATATGGAGAAAATCCTTACTGAGTATAGAAATAAAGTATGTGTACACCATGAAGAACTACATCTGCAATGAGCAAAGACAGAAGCACGGCGAAAGCAATTAGTCTATAAGCAAGCAGCCAATTAGGATGGATTGCTTTGTAACATGTCTTCCAAACATCATCTTTGTATAAAATCCCTGCTTTCTTTTCCCCATTCTCTCTTTGCTGGCTTCTTTTCGACTTTGAAGAACATTCTTCATACTTCCATATTATGCGAATTGAAACCACCATAGCTGCTAATATCCATATTGCACACAGTAAGAATCTCCAGTTCAACCAATAACTTGGAGTTGTTGTATCTGTTGTCATAGGTGGCCAAGTATGACTTGAAGACCCTGCTAAAAAGCTCATTGTAATTGTTGTTTACCAAGCAAGTCACACATAAGGTAATTAATTGGTCACGAAATAAAATGATAAGTAATCGACTGTCATAGGTTAAACACTTAAACTACAGGATAAAAACAATCTTTACACCGTCAATGTTTATATCTTAAATCCGTTGATTATTAATTTATCTTTCTAATTATGTTTTGCACATCGGACTTTGAAACTGCAACTAGCAATTCACTAGAATTAGAAAAATTTAAGACGAAACGTGATATTTCAAATTGTAGAAATCATATTAATCTTGAAAAGTAACCTTCCGTTCAAATTTTCTTTTCAATAATAGGAAAGTACTTTTACTTTCAAACTTAAAAAAGGAACTCTTTATGAAATTAGGTACTAGTAGACTTTTAGTAAAGTATTTTTTTACACTATTTAGGAATTTTTTCAGTTTTCACTGAAACATATTGAATATATATGGCAAGAACATTATATTACTCTAAGCCATTCACTCTACATAATATATTCTCCTAACTCAAGGAGGCTCGAATATATTCTTCATATTGGTTTTTAAAAATATTCAATTTTGATCACAAATTAGACATATTATTGGTGATTCAACACTATAATAAAAAAGGAAATCCAAAAGCATTTTTCAAGATTCGTAATAGCATAATATGAGACAGAATCCTCTTTAGAAATAAAGATGCTCTTCTCAAAAAGCACACTCCTTCTCGTTCTCACAAATTCCACACAAAAAGTAAAAGATACACAATTGACCAAGCATTAAGATGAACAAGAATTATGAACAGACAGTAAACTTACGCAGAAAAAATCCTTCAAGATTCAACAAGAAGCTGTCATTGGTTTACTTTCCTGAGCTGAAAATGTTTCTGTTTTAATGAAAGACATGAAACCAAATAGGGGAATGTGCGTGGTTTCAACTGGTTAGTTGAGGATTAAAGTGATGGGTCCAGTGAAAGTGTGACAAAAAAGATGAAGTATTTTAGGATAGAGAATGAAATTGATATGAGAAGAGCAGAACCACATAAAACTTCCACGTGGATGTCAATATGGACAATAAGAAACCAAATATTAAACAATTACTACTACCATTTATGAATGTAATTTCCGTTCCCTACGTCTACTCTTTCCTTACTTATAAGCTACTCAGTCAAATAATAGGAGTAGAAAAATAGAATGTGGGGGATACTATTACAGTGCCAACGGAAACACAAATCTCAATCGGCTGGAAGCATCGGTTATTGATAGTTTCGTAACAATGAAGACAGTGCATTTAATACGGCGGAAATTATTTTTCCAAATATATGTCTCATTGAAAGTGAAATAATGACTTTCTTCCTTCATAACTATTCCATTCTTATCTTGGTATTGCTGCTCCAACCAATTAAATGTTATTATTAATCCTTAATATTTGCACTAATAGTTTTTAATAAGGATTATCTTAGAAAAATATTATACTCTCATCTACTAAACACAAAAAAAATATGTTGGATTATTTTAGAAAAAATTTATACTCTCATCTACTAAACACAAAAAATATATGTTTTAAGAACAAATTGTTGATATTCGAATTTGAATTCTTGTCCGTATAACAAACAATACGTGCAGTAATTTGAATTGAGGATTGCAGGTCTCTACTATTTGATGTGCGGTATCCTACTTTGATGCATGTGTATTGAAAGTCTTAAATTATTGTGTAGTTGTACAGATCTGTGCTGAGTCAACATGTAACTATACAGTGTTAGTTGTAGTAGTTATACAATTAGTCTAGTTGTATTAGTTGTCATACGTGTACATGTATATATATACACATTTTGCAATAATGTTGAAATAAGCATAATATCATTTCACATTCTATTCTTTACTCTCTCTCTCCTCTCTTTGAACTCTCGAGAACCTCCATTGGAGGTCTTGCATGAGCTTGATTTTTTCAGTTTCGAGCTAATCTCGATATGTATCAGAGCCCGGTTGAACGTATGTACTCGAAGTCTACCAGAATTCCTCTTTCAGTATCTCAAAATTTCTTTTTCCCTTTCGTATACTAGAGTTTTTAGATTCCTCGATTCATACTGCAATTTTCATACGGATCGAAGATTTTCAGTGAAACTGATATATCTACTCACAAAGTCGGTTGATATATTGGTTAATTTCATCGATTAGAGCTTCTCAAATGGCCATCAATCAAAGCAAAGAAACAATGCCCAATACGACCAGAAATGACCAGTCGGTCATCGATGCGAGCAGTCCTCTGTACATTCATTTTTCGGACAGTCCTGGAGTAATGCTAGTGCCGGTTCTATTTGATGGAATTAGATATAGGTCTTGGAGAAGAAATGTGTTACGAGCTCTATTGGCCAAAAACAAATTAGGGTTCATAAATGGGGAATGTAGGAAACCTAGCCCTAATTCACCTCAATTTCGCCAATGGGAGAGATGCGACAATATGGTGATGTAATGACCTAACCGGTCATTTTAACTTTTAGAACCTCGTTCTCTAAAATAAAACTTTCCGTATGTGCTTTTAATGATTTATGACTTGCGGAGATGGTTGGTTCGGGATTTGGAAGCGTTTGGGTTAAAACCAAAACACTTGGTTCCTTAAGTTGGCCTTGAAGTGCTAAGTTTGACTTCGGTCAATATTTTGAGAAAACGATCCCAGAATAGAATTTTGATGATTCCAACAGCTCCGTATGGTGATTTTGGACTTAAGAACATGCTCGGAATTTTATTTGAAAGTCCGTAGTTAAATTAGGCTTGAAATGGCTAAAATAGGAATTTAAGTTTGGAAGTTTGACCGGGGAGTTGACTTTTTAATATCGGAATCCAATTCTGAAAATTTTCATAGCTCCGTTATGTCATTTATGACTTGTGTGCAAAATCTGAGGTCAATCGGACTTGATTTGATAGGTTTCGGTATCGAATGAAGAAGTTGGAAATTTTAAGTTTCATTAAGCTTGAATTGGAGAATGATTCGTGGTTTTAGCGTTGTTTGATGTGATTTGAGATTTCGACTAAGTTCGTATGATGTTTTAAGACTTGTTGGTATAATTGGTTGAGGTCCCGAGGGGCTCGGGTGAGTTTCAGACGGCTAACGGATTATTTTTGGCTTTTGGAACATTGTTGATAGCTCCTAGAAATTATCTTTTGATTTCCTTATATGCGATCGCATGGATTGGGTTGCGATCGCGTAGGCTTAATTTGGCAGCTGAGAATTTGTTCTATGCGATCGCGTGGGCAAGTCCGTGATCGCGCAGGTTGGATTCAATTGTGCTATGCGAACGCGTGACTAAGGCTGCGTTCGCGAAGAGGAAACGAAGTAGAAGCTGACCACGCGCGAACGTGTAGGCTTGTGGAGACTGTACTATGCGATCGCGTAGGACTTTCCACGATCGCGTAGGGTTAACGTTTGGGCAGTAAAATTTGTGCTACGCGATCGCGTGAGGAAGTTCGCGATCGCGTAGAAGAAATCACTGAGCAGAGAGTTTAAGTTCTGAAAATGTGACTTCGTCCTATTTTCTATTTTTAACGATTTGGAGCTCGAATTTAGGCGATTTTTGGGAGATTTTCAGAGAAAACAACGTGGTAAGTGTTCTTAACTTAATATTGGTTAAATTACCTGAATCCATCACTATTTTTATCATTTAATTGGTGAATTGAGTTGGAAAAGTTTGAAAACCCTCTTGGATAGATTTGAGGATTTGAGGGCCGAATTATTATTGAAATTTAGTGATTTTGGTATGAGTAGACTCGTGGTTGAGTGAGTGTTCATATTTCGTAACTTTCGCCGGAATCCGAGAAGTGGGTCCCACAGACGAATTTTTAATTAATTTCGGATTTTTTATTGAAAATATAGTATTTTCTTATAAAATTGATTCCTATAATTTTTAGTGATTGTATCGAATTATTTTTGGCTAGATTCGAGCCAGACAGAGGTGGATAATCGTGAAAAAACCCTTCTAGTGGATTAATTGGAGCAAGACGAGGTAAGTCTCTTATCTAATCTTGTGAGGGGAAAATTACCCTATAGGGATTAAATTGAATAATTGTTGATAATTGCAGGAGCTACATACGCACGAAGTGACGAGAGTCCGTGCGTAGCTACTATTAATGCTAAAGTCCGGGTAGTTTAGGACTCAAAGCATGAATTACTTGTGTAAATTGTATTCCTTATTTAATTAATATTATTTGATATATTTATATATATGTTGTGAATTGTTAGATAAAAATATTAAAGGATGAAAAATTTATATGTTTGATTTTCTGTTTAAATTAATTAATTGTTAAAAGAAATTGTTCTTCCTCCCGAATTTATCTTATAATAAATATACT